AAAAAAATATACGAAGTTCTCTGCTGAGTGATAGGAATAGCTTCCTTTGACTGGGGAGGTTGTGATGGGGGTGATAGGCAGAGCCAGGACATCCTTTGTACATCCCACCCACAAAGGCATGGTTCTTTCAAGGTGGTCCACCTTGTTTTCTACAAGATCTGTAGCCTGTTGTAGCCTCTCATAAAAGCCCTAATTCTGTCATACCATGATCTTCTGGATTTACTGAATAGCTTTGCCATTCACTGCGTAGGCTACATGGCTTACATTTCTAGACCCTCAGTTACTTTATCCATAAATGGGACAAAATAACTAATAGCCCATAGGATTTAAGTTGAAAAACTGAAGCAGCATCATACCTTTGGTCCCGCATCATTCTTTCCTGAGCAAGAAAGAAACTGCTGAGGATGACAGACACACCAGACCAGACTTTCTCACTTATCAGCAGATTAACTCCAGGCTTCTCTTTGTCCCAGAGGAAGCCCAGAGTAAGAGAGAAAGTTACTAGGGGACTGGAATACATGCTATGGTCATCAACACTTGTGGATTCCATACCACACATTTTGAGCAAATTTCTTCTAGTTCCAGTGTATCTTCAGTGCTTTTGTTAAAGTTCTTGCCCTCTGGCCTCAAATAGTCTTTTTGTAGTGAGTTAGAAAGAGGCATTGGGAAACTCTTGCTTGTGTCTTCTCTTGTGGTTCCAGACATACATGTTGGCTTTTCATTATCAGCAGTCATCTTGGGCAACTAAAACACCCTCCTCCAGCTCTGCCAAGCAGACAGTGGAAGCTGGAGATAGATGAAGGGTTAGAACAGAATGAAGACCACTGGTTAATTATCACCCATCACTGGCTTTAATCACATTACCTCCAAAATATTTCTTCAAACAATCTGAATTTTCTCCAAACCACATTACTTTCATTTTTTGTAGACAAAATTCTTTTTATTTTTTTCTGAAATGTGTGGGAACTTAATGTTCCAGTTAATTGAATGTTTTATTTAACAGGAAGGCACTAAATACTGCATGCATGGAATTCTAGTTTTCAATGTTGGAATATAGCAACAGGTTTTTCAAATAAAATTTTAATTAAGTGTAATTTAATATTTATCTGACATTTTGTAAGGCATGGTAGCTTTTTATGTTGCATTCGGGGCATAATAAGAAACATCCCTTTTCCAATACTTATAAGGATAAAAATGTGGATTATTGGAGGTTACACATTTATATAGTAAAAATGGCACAGACTTTCTTCAAAGTTCAGCAGATCTGGGATGATTCCTGGCTCTAGATGTAGAATTGACTGCTCTTAGCCAAGTTAATCTCCACCAGCCTTCATTTTTAATCTGTAAATTTGATAAAATGGCATTGCTTTAAGGAAGTAATCAGATAACCGTAGTAAATACTTTATCACAAGCCTGCCTCTAGTAAGTGCTTAATCAAGTCAACTTTATTTTGCCCACTCCCTTCTTTCAGATTCAATTGCATGAGAAATAAACATGTGGAGAAAAAGGAGAAAAAGCCGGGGAAACTACAGAACACCTCACTGTTTTCATGGAGGAGGTGCTAATAAAGCAAGGGATGGGCGATTAGGTTTTAGGAGGGCAATTCTCATTTCTGTTATATCAAACTACACACAACCAGAACATCTAATCATCATGAGCACCCCATGACCGAGAACACAGGCAGGGTAGAGAGGCTAATTCAGAACTCCAATCTTGCCCTTAAAATTTGTCAAACTTGTGTTTAGATAAACTGCTGTTTGGATGAGAGTGATATAGTTAAAATTCTTGCACTTTGGCCCTAAATGTCCTTTGTGCAGGGAGTTAGAAAAGGAACCAGGTTCTTTCTTGTACCTCCTATTGTAACCCCAGACATATATAGTGGCTTTTCTCTGTCATCAGTCACCTTGAACATATGAAAACACAATTGAGAGATATCGCCTCAGATACTGAGCTAATCATTGAACCAGGTTCTATTTGGCTAATTATTTCCAAATGATAGCTACAGGACCACTTTTATTTGTTAGCCCATTGTTTATCTGGTTATTAATGTGTCTCAATTTCACTTAGGGCAAGTGATGACAGCTCTTGGCTCAGATAGATGGAATACCCAGTAAGGACCCTCTTTCCTGTGTCACAACCACCAGAAGGGGTTTTCCATGCTAATTTGCTCACAGAGATGATAGGGTCAGTTGTCCATAGATCACTAAGGAAGCAAATGGTTGTCTTGAAATGTTCCCGATGGACACCAGTGATCTAAGAAACTCTCTGATGAAAGGAAATTGGTTTAAATAGGGCAGCACTGAGGCAATTAGTGCATCCCCTAGAAGCTATAAGGCTTAGCAGGATATGTAGCTTCTGAAAAGTTAGAAGTGGAGAGGCTTATCTTTTGGAAGACTTGCTCTAGCAGAGCCCACTGCTTGCATCTGTTCTATATGGGTCATTTCCTATTGGGTGTCATTGTCCAGCTACAAGGTCATTGTGGGGACTGAAGCAACATCGTTACCATAGCACTGAAAGAGAAGAGGTGGAGAGCCAAAAGAAACCAGTCTTTTCTGTGTCCCGGATGGGTTACATATATCTTTTTGTAGTTAAACTGGAGAAAAAAAGCACAGGAAGAAGAGAGATTGTCAATCCTCTAGCTTTATCTTCACGCCCGCAACACTCCCTACCATTCAGGATAAACCAGTGGTGGATAAATGAGGTATAGATTAGTAATCCAGCATCCAGTGGTTCCATTTCACCTCTGCTTCCAATCATTGTGATATGGACTCACTGTTACATCAAATTATAATGGGGCTAGGACTACTGACCTTGTGGGATGATTGTTAGGCTAAGTAGAACAGCGTACATAAAAGACATGGTATGGTAATAGCACTTCTTAAATTAGTTTTCCTTTTCTCTCTAATGTCCTTCCTTAGGTCCTAAACTTTGACAAATCATGGGTTATTTCCCACTAAAATCCCTTCTCCCTTCTCCTTTCTCCCTAATAACAGAGCCCTAATTTTATCCAGGGACTTCCATGAGTTTGGCTAAGTGACTATGTCTACTAGCCTGCCTTGCAGATGGGGTGGCCAGGGAAACAGAAGTATAAGTTACTGAGTGAGGTTTTGGGGTGCCACTGTCCAAATCTTGCCTTACACAAGCCTTACGCCTAAAGGATATCTGCCAACATCATACCCAGAAAGGAACAATGGTACGCCAAGAACAATGCAAATAGAGGTACTTAACACTTACTAAGTAATTCCACTGTATCTGTTGATGGCTAAGTCCTTTACTCCTCCAATTTTTTTTTTTTTAAACTGGGGACTGAACTCAGGACCTTGATACTTCTCCAATTTAACTCTGGTGAAATATTTCTAGCGTTAACTTCTACTTGTAGTTAGGAACAAAAGGCACAGGACATGTGAATAAATATATGTAGGTATGGGTGAATGGTAGAATGATTGAATAAGTGAATTGTAACTAAAAGGGCCTATCAGAATTCAAGATGGAGAATTAGGGTGGAGGGTAAGTGCACTGGCTTCCTAATGCTATAATAACAAATAACCAAAACTTGGCTGCTTCAAACACAAATTCTTCATTTTAATGGCTCTATAAATTTTATGTCTATACATCTGAGCAAAAATTAAGATGGCAGCAGTGCTGTGCTTCTTTGGAAACTCCAAGAAGAAACAGTTCCAGTACTTTTCTGGCTTCAAGGCCACCCACATTCCTTGGCTCACTGCCCCTTCCTCCATTTTCAAGGCCAGCAACATTGGGCCAAGTGCTAATGCTGCCATCTTTCTGTTTTGTCTTCCTGTAATTGCAAGGGGCCCACACAGATAATCCAGGATAATCTCTTTTTCTTAGGGACAGCTGACTAGCAGCACCAGTGTTATTGCAATTTGACTTCTCCGTTGCCATGTGAGGTATTCTATTCACAGGTCCAAAGATGATGATGTGGCTATTTTGAGGGACCATTATCCTGCCTACCACAACGTGTTTCTGCAGAAGATCCCTCATCATTCATAGGAATATTTTTGCAATAGGAGCAGCTGCAGTGTGTCCCTCACTCTATGGCAGCATGTCAGGTCTCTGTTTAAAGATTAGAGGAAGACAAGCCCATCTGGCTCATTTTCCTGGCATGGCAGTGTGGGTACAGCTGTGGTCACAGTGTCTCATGCTGTCATCCTTCTGATGCAGACTCCTAGTCAGCAATTTGGACAAAAGATGAGAGGGTAGGCCAGTCACGCCCAGCAATTTTTTTGAGGGTTCCAGGGCTTTCCTAACCTTATAACCCAAGGCTTTTGGCCATGTGGAGTTGATTTTATAGAAGTTCAGAAGAAGTTAGGGAGGGGAAGAGCATTTATTAAACCAGAATCCATCTCTCTGTATTCATTTTCACATTTCTTCCCTTTAATCAGACATGAGATTCAGGTTGCAAAGTGGGACACTGATGTTCTCAGAAGAGAAGGCAACTAGGTCAGGGCCACATAGCCACTGAATGACAAAGCAGAAACTGGGACCAGAGATAGTCTATCCAGTTTACCCTAAGTGAGTCTGTTTCCCCACCAGCTCCCATGGTCAGCCATGGCTTCTAATGCAAGAGCAATCTCATTTTGTCTTTACATGTGACTTACTTCCTTTCTATGAATCCTCAGGCTGCTTCCAAGAATGCCTATGTCAGCCATTCCATAGCCAGTGGTGTCTGTACTGTGTCTATCATGGGTCTCTCAGTTGATCTTGGGCTCAAAAGGAAAATTTCAATTACAGCTGTCCTCTACCTCCCTACCTCTACCACCTGTGTTCCACCCATAATATCCTTCCCACCATGGGCCATATTCAAATCTTTGCTGCTTTGAAAACAATGGGACACTTGGAGTTGACTCTATTCAACAAGTATTCTCTTTTTACTATTTCATCTTAGTATTGCAGCCCCAAAACAAATTAACTATCACTCCCTCAAAACTACCATGATTTTTTAAATTAACTTTTTAAAAACCCTTTATTTTCTTACTCAGGTTCCTAACTAAAACTGCATCACAAGAAATGCCACCTGTCTCTTCAATTAAAAAGCAGAAGATAAATTGTTGGACCTTGAATCATTGCTGATGCTTCTACAAGGGATACCATTCAAGGTAACAGCAAAGTAAACACATTTGTGAGTCCAAGGGTCTGTGTCCTCCTCATGCCCTCCAAGCTCTGCCCACTGCCAACCTAAGGAGCATATGGAAGTTTTATGCCTAGCTGAGCATTGCTAAACACTATTGTTTAAACAAAAAAATATTCTTAGGTCAAATATCAGAGATTCAACAGATAATTACAATTAATCCCTCTCAATTTTCCTCCTCCTGCTGCCCTGCACACTGGAAGTAAACTTTGTTCTTACTTTCTAGGATCCTCCCAAGTAGGAAAGGACTTCCGTCCTGCCCATGGAATTCTCTAAATAAAAGATCACTGTCACTATTCTGTGAGGGCAGCAACTGACAACAGATAAAGTGTATGTTTCCAGGCAAATATGCCTGTTTGTAGCTGCATCCCTCCCTTTTCAGGAGGGCTAAAAATGACAAGGCATCAGTGGACTGATGAATATAGAAGTAGTGTAAAGGGCTTTGCTCATCACAGCATGAACCTAACTTTGGGATGCTGAACTTAGTACCTACTGCTACCAGGAACCTGGGTGCGGCCCCATTTCATTTAATCTTCACACAACCCTCTGTAGTATATATTTAATTTAATGGCTAATAAATTTCAGACTTAGAAGAGTACATCTACTTTCCCACAGCCCCTTTTATAGAATGAGACAAAACCAAAATCTGAAGATAATTTACTCATTTATTTGATCCATTATTCAATAAATACCTACTATAGAATGACCTTGTGCCAAGCACTGTGCCCAGAAACAACCCAGGCCACTGGGAGAAGCCAAAGTCCCTACAGGGCTTGGCTCTCATCTAAAGCTGGCATGGTATGTCCTAACCAGATAGGACATGCTGAGCAGCTGGGGCTGGGGCCAAGGAGAAACCCATGCCCTGGAAAACTCTGTCTCATTTCAGTATTATCCTCCTTCCTAGGGTAAAGGTAATTACAGGATCACTAAACATAATTTCACAAGGCCTTCCATTTTTCCCAAGCCTAGGAGAGACGCCCTAGTACAGTAAGGGCAAACCTTTTAGAGCTTTCAGTGGTAACAAATAGCTCTGCGGAACACATGCCATAGGTTCACCATCACTACTGCGCAGCACACTTCCTCCCTGCCCTTATCCTTTAGACTTTGCTCTTTCAAGTCTGTCCTTCCCCTTGCTTGTTTTCTAGAAAATCTCTACTCATCCTTTAATGTCAGTTCCTGATGGAGTCTTTGCTGTGGCCCCATGATGGATCTTTTGCTCCTCTGTGCACCAGCATCTGCTGGCTCAAATTTATAATAGGGCATAGGGAAAGCAAGTTCTTTTAAGGCAGGAATGGAAACACTCAGGGCTGTATGCTGGGGCCCAGATCAGTACCTGGCTCATAGTAGGTCCTTCATGGTTAAATGGCTCTTTTGGGCAAGAATATTCTGCATGGAAGAGGCAAGGGATAACTGCTTCCTAAACATTTTTCTCACTCTAGGAACACTAACCATCACTATTGCTATATTTTCAAACTTCACTATGTATCTTCTGTGCTACAGGCAGAGTCCAGAATAATTGTTCCTGTTTCTCTGGGTAGAAAAACTAATGTTGAGAGTTACTAATCATTCAGCCAGTCACAGAGTTTAGCTATGACCTGGTCATATGATCCTTATAGCTCCAATGGCTTTGTGCTTCTTTCTCAGAGCTTCCTGTGATGTACTAAGAAATGTATAAGTATAGTCTCTGTTCCTGTTTCCAGCACACACCTCCCAATCTTCAAAGTCTAAAGTGTCTTTTTGCCTGAATGAGGTGGCAGCTCCTGGATAGCCTCAGAAACATGCCTAGAGGCACCATTTCTACAAAAGAAGGAAGAAGCTGAAGTTGATTTGCTCAGCAATAGCCAATGACTTAACCATTCTACTCAAGATGCACAAACTCAGGCCAGAGTGGCCAGGACAAGCTCGCTTTCCCATTAATAACCTCCACAGAGCTCACACCACCAAATTCAGCAAAGGCCTAAACTGAGTAACAGAAACATTTTAAATACTGGATGCCTGAGGCTGCTTATCTACTTCCTGTCTTCGTCAGTCCTGGGTAGTCTCAGAACCTTGGCTGGACAGTACTGAGGGTGCCCATTCTGCTCCCACTTCTACTATAGGCTCAGGCATGGTAGTCGTGACACATTTGCATCACAACTCACCTCTGCCTCAGCTCTCATTACGAACTGAAATATTGTCGTGATCTAGTATGAGCTGTGGCAGGCTACAATTAATTAATTAATCAGTTATACTCTATCAGCAAGTGCAGACATGGAATGTTAAATAAACAAATTAAAGGCTGTGTTTCACTAAAGCTCAGCCCAATGAAATAATAATGAGGCAAAGTTAACTGCTCTGAACAGAAGAAGCAAGAATATTGTAATGGAGTATACCAGTGTAATAATATCCTAGAAAAATGTACAGAGCTTCTGTTGCAAAGACTGCTCCAAGCGCCAATTGCACCCTCCCTGCCCTCCACTTGGACAAGGTGGCAGGTAGGCAGACAGCTGCTTTTCAGCAGAACTCCATCCCATCTTTGCCATTTATCATTACATGCTCACCTGCTTTGAACTTAACTTATTAAAAAAGGAAGGGAACATTATTAAGGGTTGCATTTTTGCAGTGTCCACAGCTACTTCCCCAGGCAGGCTGGGGTCACAGTGGCTCTGCTCCATACAGGCTGGTAACACCCTGAGACCTTGAGAAGCTAAAACCCTGAGACCAACTCTTACCCCTGATGAGTAAGGAGTCAGCAAATCAATACTCCATATATGTTTTATATATATGATATATATTTATGTGGGGTTTTTAAGTTATTGTTGCACATGCTTGCTTACATTCCTGTTTTCTGTCATGAGTTGAAGCAGCATCAGGCCCTATCAGATGCAATCACGAACTTTCCAACCTCTAAATCTATAGGTCAAAATAAGCTTTTCCTTTACAAATCATTCAGGCCCAGGTAATTTATAGGAAATTAGTACTCTAATTTATAGTCTCAGGTTCTATTGCAGTGACATCACTCAGGTGGGGCAGCTCCTGTGTCTCTCAGATGCCCCAAAGGATTGAGCCTGCTTGTCCCTCCACACTCTATTGTCTTCCTCCCCGTGCCTGTGTTGCTCCCCATCTCCCACTAGTACTTCCCTGACCGCCCCCCCTAAGCAACTACTTATGTTCAAAATCTGCTGCTGGGAAAAACCAGGTTAAGACAGTGTCTTTTTGTGAGTTCTACACATATTTTTCTGTCCCTTCAAATTTCAGCTCCTCTGTAGTCCCAGTTCACAGTAACTATAGGTATGAACCTTCCCCTGGGATGATGGGCCTATTTGTTCCATGAGTAGCATAGCTTGGGCAAGCTTGCCTTTGTGATGACTTTCTCCTGTTCAGCAAATATTTGCTGAGACCCTCTGTGTGCCAGGGCCATTTGAGGGTTGGGGATCTAGCTTTGAGCAGTATACACAGATGTCAATTGGATGAATGAGAGGAACAAAAGTACAACTCAAGCATGACACAGAGGCAGAAAGAAGCTATGTCACAGTGCAGGACTAGCTATAGGCTTCTTGTCTGGGCCTAAAATGTCCCTAAAATGTCATCAAATCAGGCATATCCTTGTGTGAGCCTTGGCCTCTTCACCTGCAAAATGAAGATGGTAAAGACCCTGGAGGAAAATAATCCAACAGCCTTGGTATCTTTAAGAAGATGAGTCTTATTAGATCCCTTTTATTCTCCCTTCAAGCATTGTCATATTTGCATTTAGTGAAATTTTTCTGAGTCCCTCCATGTAAAAGTCCAGAGCCCCATTCCTGACAAAAATAGGCAGACAGTGCTTCTGAAACCCAAGGGAAAAGGCCCCAGACAATGTTCTAGAACTTGGAGAAGAGAGAGCCAGAGGTGAAATTGACACCATGGGCCAGGCTTACACTTCCCCCCACTTCCACCCCTGGGTGAAGTTCAACAGTTGAAACCCAAGAAATGGCAATTATCTCATGGCATTGCTTTCAATTAGGGCTTTTCTGATGGTTATGGGTTTTCCTTGCCAGTTACAGGTAAATTTTAAGTGACAAATGTGATGGTCAGTTCCATACTTCCTACAAAAGAATCTACATGAAGAATACTAATATGACCCTCACTCTCCCTCTCCCCAACACAGGCACACACACACACACACACACACACACACACACACATGCTTATCGTGGCTGGCATTAGTCCATTGACCTGTTTTATCTGCACAATAGTTTCAGAGCCTCAGAGCACTCTAGAATGTCATGTGATTGGTGGGGAAGGTCTGTGACTCACTGGGAACTCCTGGGCTTCTCCTGTGCTTGGGTACCTCACACAGCTGGGACCTGGAAGCTATGCTCAGTTCTTTCCAGAAATGCCTAGTGGAAAAATCACTCAGACCACAGTTTATTCATAGTTCACTTTGTGCCAGGAGCTATGTTAAGAGCTCTACACGTGTTAATTCAGGGGCTTGCAAATGAAGGTGCCTCACTATATCAAATAAGTTTTATTGGAACAGTCACCCTATTCATTTATGCATTGTCAATGGCTGCCTTTAAACGATAATGGCAGAGCTGAGTGAGACAGACCATGTAAGCCACAAAGCCTAAAATGTCCCCTGTGTAGCCTTGTCTAGAAAAAATTTGTACTCATGAACTAACTCTTCTTATTCTAACCAAAGCCCTGTAATATAGGGATGATTGTGACTATTTTGTATAAAATAAACTAGCAACAGAAAGGTTGAGTAGTTTGCCCAAGAACACTTATCAGTGACAGAGCTGAAATTGAAGCTCAGGGCTGCAGAGAATGAGTCCTGGACTATAAAATCTACCTAAACATCTTTGAAAAAGTGAATCAGGAGATCCTGTTGAGCGGCATTGTGGACCAGAGGGACGCAGTGGCAAGCACATCCCAGCCAGGGCCCCACACAAACACTGGCAGATTGGGCACACAGGCCCAAGCCAAAGGGCTGTCCAGAGCACAAAAGAGATGCACAGGAGCACAAGCAACATCCAGAGGCCCAGCCCATACCATTGGTAAGTGTGCACAGATCTTGGCAAGCAGCGGTGTGGACCAGAGTAGCCCAGCTCCAGGGCCCTGCTCTGAGCCCCACTACTTGAGCATACAGGCCACAGCCAAGGGCCCAACTGGAAGAGAGCTACACAGGTACACAAGCCAGAGGCTCATCTGATACCATTACAAAGTGCACGGAGACCCTAGCCAGAAGCCTGCTCAGACAACAGGAACTAGGGAGCACAGCCCCCAGCCAAAGGCCCTTCCAGACAACAGGTACACAAGGTTCTAGGTGAGAGGCACATCTAGATACTATCCCAAGTGTACACAGGCCCCAACCAGAAGCCCAATCAGACAACAGGTCAGTTCAGGGATACAGAGGAAACCATTCTGAACCAGTAATTGGTACACTGGTGAGCAGTGAGTAAAGGCCACTCAGAGGCTTGCTGAGAATTTAAGACCACTGGTGAGCAAAAAGTAACCTCAACAAAGGCTCAGCAGGCTTCATCTGTTGAAATGAGAAGACACACATATAACTCTCAAAACCAGACTTCCAGATAACCTAAGGCAACCCCAAAGGGAAACAAGATGGAACCATCTGATTCTTAAACACCTGGACTCACTGAACTGGCAATGAAAGACAATTGGAAAAAACAAAATCAGAAATAATTTCTCAATATAGCAACAGAGATTGTGCCCATAGTGCAAGACACGATTAATAAATCTAGAACATACATAGATAAAAAAAAAATAGAGGAGCTGAGGAACATGATGGAGTCCTAACATAGGAAATAAATGGAATCCATAAAACAAATGCAAACAGATTTCCAGGAGACTAAAAAGTTCATTGAAAGTTTACACAGCAGAATGAGCAATATTAGGACATAATTTCAGATATAGAAGATAGGATTGCAATTAATGACCAGGAGAAGAAAAATTTCTTAAAAACAGTAAAGGACCATGAGAAATTAATCCAGCAGCTGCTAGATAATGCACAGAAAAATAAAACGACTGATGGGAGTCAGTGAAGAAACGGAGTGTACAGATGACATTAAAAAAAGCTGTTCACAGAAGTAATGGCAGAAAACTTCCCAAGTAGGGAAAAGAACTTGACATACAGACAAGTGAGGCTTATAGGACTCCAACTAGCCATGGAAACCCAACAGAGCAACAAAATTCTACAAGCAATTTTAGAAAAGAAACAAATCACATACAAAGGAAAGCCATGAGAATCACAGCAGACTTCTCAACACAAACCCTCAAGGCAAGAATAGCTTGGAGTAATGTATTTTAAGCCCTAAAGGAAAACAACTTCCAACCCAGATTGATGTACCCTGCAAAACTGTCTTTCAAAATTGTTGGAGAAATAAGATACTTTCATGACAAAAAGCATTTAGGAACTTTGTGAATACCAAACCAGCACTCAAAATATTTTAAACAATATCTTAGAAAAAGATCAGGATCAAAATGCCAGGAAGCCCAGCAGAATGAATCCATCAGGCAAAACAAGAAATTAAACACAAAGAGGGAGAACCCAACAAAAACAAAAAATAATGACAAGGATAAGTCTATACATACCAGTTATAACCATCAATGTTAATGGTCTCAATTCACCAATCAAAAGAAATAGACTAGCAGAATGGATCAAGAAGCAAGATCCAACAATATGCTAGATACAAGAAACACACTTAATTTAAAAAGAAACTCATAGACTGAAAGTT